CCACCACCACCACCACCACCACCACCACAAGTGTCACTGCCGCCACCATCACCGCTGCTATTACTACTAGTGCTAGTACTACTATTACAACAACAACAACAACGATGGTGGATGTTGTTGATGTGTGCTGCAGGTGTTAGGGGTGTGGTGTGGTATAGCCGGCAGCTGTCTACCTCAGCTTTTCATGAATGCGCACGTGGCCTAATAGGCTCATGTGGTGACTAAATTTGGGAAGGCAGTGTGGGCGGCTGAGACGAATGCGTCTGGTACATTTTGATGCTCTAGGCACTGGTTCGCCAGTCCCCATACAATGGATTCTCAGGCGACCGAAAAGGCCGATGTGTGAGATGAATGTGCGACCGTAATGAGGACAGGTTGGGACCGAGTCCACACCGCTGGATATGGGGGTGTTGGTGTTGATTAGAGCGGATTATGGGACGTCGGACGATGTCTCATCACTGGGCGAAGGGGGGGGGGGGCAGAGTGCGAGATGTAGTGATGTTGGCGGAGCTGGTCGCTATGATGGATGCAGTAGTTAGGGTAGGTTGGATGGTGTCAGTGATTGATGACGGCGGGGCAGTAGCAGTGAAAGTGCGTGAAAGTGCCACAGGTCACGTTAAGAAGCAGCCGTTGTAGCCTGACGCTCAGCCCACCAGTCCACCACGCCACACAAACGCACACACAACTGGGCTGACTGCAGGGACTGAGTTCAGGCGTCTGGCGACAACCTACTCAGCCACGGCGCTTGGCGCACCGTGATAGACTCAGTCTCAGATAAGACATGTAGGAGACGCACCACGTGGAGAAGTGTCAGTTGTGTGCTTGCGTCGTGTGTCGGTTACGTGTTTGTTTGGTACGATGGTGGATGTTGCTGATGTGGGCTGCAGGTGCTAGGAGTGTGATGGTGTGGTATAGCCGGCGGCTGTCTACGTCAGCTTTTCATGAATGCGCATGTGGCCTAATAGGCTCATGGGATGGCTGAATTCGGGAAGGCAATGTCGACGGCTGAGGCGAATGTGTGTCTGGCACATGTTTATGCTCCAGGCACTGGTTAGCCACTCTCCCTACGATGGATTCTCATGCAACCGAACATGCCGATATGTGAGATGAATGTGCGACCGTAATTAGGGCAGGATGGGACCGAGTTCACATCGTTGGATGTGGGGATGTCGGTGTTGACGATAGCGAATGATGGGACGTCGGACGATGTCCCATCACTGGGAGGAGGTGGGGGGCGTGCGAGATGTCGTGGTGTTGGCGGAACTGGTCGCTGTGATGGACGCAGGGATTGAGGCAGGCTGGATGCTGTCAGTGATTGATGACGGCGGGGCAGCAGCAATGTAATCATGGGTGACGGAGGTGGTCCTCGTCGCGAGGTTTGTAACAGGGACGAGAGTAGCGGTGCACATGGAAGGAGTAGTTGACATTGTCAGGTTGTGGGTGCATTGAGTCCAGAGGTGTCCCATGAGGCCTATTCGCGCGTGGAATGTGCGTTGGCAGTGCAGGCATGCTGAAATGGCTGACGGTTGACATTGAGAAGTCGAGGCAATTGTGACTTGCGAGCCTCTTCTGACTTTGGCGGCGGCGACCGGATTTGCTTCATATATGGCTACATCGGTCTTCACTTCTCTTCAGCATGCCTATCTGTTCTGAGCGAGGGCTTGCCAGGTCTTTGGGTCAATCTGCAGTCGTTCCAGAGAGTCCTTCATAGTGTCCTTGTCGCGCCGTTTTTGTCCTCCATGTGGAGGAGTTCCCGTAGCAACATCACCAAGGAAGAATTGTCTTGGTAGACGTTTATCTTTCATCCTTACGAAATGGCCACTGCACCGTAGTTACAATTGCCTCAGCCTGGCGTGAATATTGAGGATTCTGGTTCGTTTTAGGACATCCGTGTCGGGGATCCTGTTTTGCCATCTCTCTTCTAATATTCTGGTAGGACAGCTGAGATAGGAATGGTTGAGCTTCCTGACATGGCTGGAGTAGATGACCCAGTTCACCGCTCCGTATAGAAGTGTTGTCGAGACGACAGCCTTGTACATATTCTGGAAAGCTGTGCCGTTTCTCGAAAAGCCTTCGCCTTCCAGGACACACACACTCCTTACATGCGTGAAAGTGCCAAAGGTCACGTTAAGAAGCAGCCGTTGTAGCCTGACGCTCAGCCCACCAGTCCACCACGCCACACAAACGCACACACAACTGGGCTGACTGCAGGGACTGAGTTCAGGCGTCTGGCGACAACCTACTCAGCCACGGCGCTTGGCGCCCCGTGATAGACTCAGTCTCAGATAACACAGGCAGCAGAGCAGCCACCGGGAGAAGGATCTGAGAGCGGGAAGCACACTTCCCACTTAAGTGAGACGTGTCAATCTAGTGCTTGCATTGTGTGGTGAGGAGTGATGTTCGTGTGTGGTGCAGGGGCTGGTGGGCAATGGTGTGATAGTGTAGCATAGACAGCCATTGTCTACCACAGGTTTTCTTGAATCCGCATGTGACTTAATTAGCCCATGCAACAGTATAAAATATAAAGAAGACGTGATTTTTTATTGATTGACTAAAAAAAGCATATTTTATTTATGGTTTCTATAAAATATATTTGAATTTGCAAGACCATCGAAAATCAATGGGAAAAATGCATGCTACGTAAGTAGTCATTTTTTACCGAGCACGCTTTCTACAGGAGATTGACAAGAAGTGCATTTAATAGCCGACATCCTGCCGAGCCCGAAATGTTATAAGAGTGTGCCTTAAGATAATCAGTATTACAACCGCGACCAAGTAATCCTTTCTAATCGAAAACGCATTTCAGAATTTCAGCCAACATTTCATGAGATCAGTCACTCACTGTATACTGCCTGGGATTGGTGCAGCCGGTGAGCATGCATAATCTGAGCGGCCTTGTCGATCGGGACGTCGCTTGCGGCGTTGAAAGTATGGCTACCTCCAGTGCTGTTAGAGAGGAGGTCTTGGAAGTTTACCAAATTAATGGATAACTCAAGGCAAGATCTTATTTTGTTGTTGTACCTGTTAGGGGTTGGGGATAGGATTTAAGGTTAGGGGTTGGCGGTTAAGGTTAGGGTTAGGCGTTTAGCTGGGACTTGTCTACTGCAGGTACGGCTATGAAATAAGGTCTGACCTAGCTCAGTTCTTTTCAGGGCAGTGGATCAGGCTGAAGTGGCTAATTCTTGAAGCGGTCTTCATGGCACCCTCATCGATGTGAAGTCCAGGCTGCTTTTACATGCAGTGTGTTGAGCTCTGTCAGTCACTATGGCCGGCCTCAACTGAGGTAGCTGTTACGTTGACTTCCGCCACGAGCAGGGTAGGTGACGGGGGGGGGAGAGTTCGGTGAATTTTGTGTAAGATCGGCGAAACACGAGTGTTTGGGCTTTTAACATGACAGTTCGACCATCGATTTCGATGATGTCCACCGTGTGCCCCACAGCAGGTTGGAGCAGGGACGGTGACTTGCGCAGGGGTTTATAATGCCAGTAGACTTGCGCTGCATCTACCTACACTCTCTCCACCTCCCTCGCCCGAGCCCGGTGTCAAGACAGAGTCAAGAAGACCGGAGACGAGG